CAACCAGCAACACAGCAACAAAAACAAAGGGTTTGAAACCCTTTGAAGTTTCCAGCAGACTAAGGAATTGTGGACTGGAGTGATATTTCAGTTCACATCCACAAGAGCAATTGTAATTCATACACATCATCACCAAGATGTGGAGGACAAGCAGAAAAAAGGGCAAGACATGCATAGGCAACTTTTAAATACACTGCTGTCTCTTATATGAAAGTAACCCTACCAGCTGGTTTGCTTTTTTTCACGGATAGTTTTCTGTACGTAACATTTTCCCATTGCATCTTTCCCCCTTTTATGCTGTTCCAACATAGACCAAGAGTTCCAGCTTTGCACAACCACTCCATGGTAGATTATAACCTGTTACACTACCAGAGTCTTCCTTCTTGTACAATACAAGCAGTCACAGATGCTAAATCATTTCCATCGGGGCCGAAGGGAATTTTTGTTCAGCTCTTTCTATAAATAGGTGCAACTCCTAGATCAGAATTCATTTGGCTGGCAATTTTTAATTATATTAATTACCATGCCTTTGAAAAGACAGCATCAGAACACCAATGTAGCATACACCTTAAGCCACGAGGAGAGAGTAACAAAGGCTTGGTTTCTCTCTTGAGCAAAAAATATCCAACACTCTCATCCACAGGGCAAGCTTCAGACAGAAATGCAGTGGGCTCTTTCAAGAAGATTCTCTGACTGTTCAAACTGGGCACTTCTTCAGCATCTCCAGGGCTGCACCTAGTGTGCTGTGCTCCGCACTGGCCTGTGGCACTGCCAGGACAGGCTGATGTGCCACCTCCCTGAACTGGGAACAGCTGGAATGAAGCACGACGAGCCAGAGGGATGAGCACGTGCACACTGTGTACAGGAGACACTCAGCTCAGAGGAGGCCCAAGGAGGCTACTGCAGCAACCTCAGCTTCAAGAGAAGCCATGAGACATCCTAAATTACACTTTCAATACCTGCTGTCCCCAACAGCTTTTGGAGGATTATGGGAGCACAGCATTGGGTTAAGCTCCTGTTTGTGATCTCTCGTCTCATTTTGTGCCTACAGCCAAATCAAATGAGTATCCAGGCCAAAAGGTTTTAAATTAATCCCTCCAAATAAAAAAACAGAAAAAAATCCACTATATCCACTGAAACATTTTATCTTGGCCTGTAAGACAACACACGGTGGTACGAAGTACCAGAGGATGCTCTGGAGCTCTGCAGGTAAAATATTTTATCAGTCTATCTACCACATCACCATATCAAACGAGCTTGTATGAGGTTTCATCAACACCAAGATCTTGTGCTTATTTCTCATAGTTTTAGCTAAGTAATTTAGCAAGTGTCATACATCTTTTTCAGAAGACTGCAGTGTATTTTGTCCACAGTAATACTTGATAGAAACTTTGGGGGAAAAGGCGCAAAGCATTTTGTACTTTACTGGGTAAAAAATCCAAAATTGAATAAAATGGCAAATTATTTCCTACAGCTATTAAGGAACTATTTAAGAAAAGAAATATGAGACATGGATTAAGAAAAGGGACACATCTGTTCTGAAAAAAAAAAAAAAAAGTCTTTGAGGAGAACTAGTAGAATAAGAGAAACCAAAAAAAACCCCAGTGAACCTGTATGGAAAAACAGCAGAAGGCATATTGCCAACAGATGGTGAAGAAGTCATACATCAAAAAGGAAAACAAATTTGAAAGCATACTCAATTTTGAAGACTTGAGAAAAAAAAACAAAACCAAAGCTAACTCCTCCCTCATCACAGATTCCCTGGTTAAAAATGGAGCTGCATGTTCTTAACACTTAGGAAAGCAGTTGTAATTTCTGGGTTCTAAAATGGAGGCATTCAAAATTAGCATCTGTCTATGAAAATGTTGGTCCACTCTTGAAATCACTTCCTTCCTCCCCACTATGAAAACACACTCTTTTTTTGGTGTGTTTTCATTTTTTCTCATGTTAGTGGTTAAGCTCAATGCACTGGAAAATACCTGAGGCTTCAATGGGGCACTTTCTTATTAATTCAGATGCCTGTTTAAAAAGATGCTACCTCTCTGAGGCCTTTCTGCAGCAGCTGGTAAGAGGTACTGCCACTGGAACCAAGACACAGGTATTTGCAGAGCCTCTCAATGGAAGTTATTCCCCATGATTCTAGGTGTCCATACTGTCAATCCAATTCTCAACCCGACTTTTGAAAGTAGGAATTTTGCACAGCCAGTTTAATAGCACTCAGTGATCAAAGGAATTTGACATGTTATACTGCAATTTTTACTGGGGGTACATTTTGCAGTTGGAACTCAATAGGTAAATAACTATTAAGTCACAACAAGATTCCCACATGAACACCCCTGGCACAATCCTGTCAGAACACAAAAAAGTACTTTAAATGTCAAAGTAATACAGAAGTCATCCTCTACAAGTATTTATCTTCCCCAGCAAACCTCCTTCCCTTAGTTTGCATACCTTGCAAGAGCTGTTCAGGAAGCTGACACACTGTTGCTGCAAACCCAAGAGCAACGGACACATCAGATTTTACTCTCTTCTAAAATATGCAGCTGACATTTCAGCAGCTGGCTTCAAAACTGTTACCTTCCAGTTTCTCAAGGCTAGTTGCCACAAGTTTTCAAACTTGTTTTATCCCCTTCCTTCCTTTCATTCGTAATGTCTACACATTATACACTAACTCTGGTTAAGACATAGAAAGAAGTAATTACAAGGAACAAGGGCACAACTTTCCCATCTGTAACACTGACTCTGAGCAGCCACTTGAAAGTTAAAATGGGTGACTGACTTCTAGCACAAAAGTAATACTGGAGCATCAGCAATTGTTCATACTTAAGAGTTTTGTGTATCTTGTAAACATTAACTACTTTAAAATTATAAATCCCCTCAACCTCTAAAGCGCACAAAATGCTGTGTAATATTGTAGCTAAGGCCTATCTTTTTTTTAAAGTCACAATCCAATGTGGTTCAAAATCTGTGGAAAGAGTAGCTTTGATTTTGACTATGAGACACTAAAGGCTACCCTAAGGTGAAGCTTTAGGAACTGCCAGGATCAGTGGAGGAGTTTTCAGGACAGACAGTGATGTTTGACACAGCCAAGTGCCTGTGGGCACATCACCTGATGCTGCACAGCTTCTTCAGCTGAGGGAAGGTTTGCTATGAATACACTTACTCGATTATAATAGACAACTGTGGGTTCATTGGTTCATTTATTTTACTGTCTGTCAGGTTCTCAGTCAACCATCCACACTTGCAGACAAATCAAGAAAAAATTTAAAAACCTCTGATGACAGAGGAAGAGTCCTTATCTACACCAACATCCACACTAGAAGGCCTGCATAAGGCATATACCTGATTGGTGACTCTTACAAGAGCTAACAGGTTGCTTTCAAAGGGAAGAACAAGAAAAAAGAACCTCCACAAAACTTCCTAGAATCAGATATACATGCAATACATTGCACAAACAGTCAAACTTTTTATGCTGATGTGACAAAAATACAACGCACTTCTAAACCTCATGGACCATTCAGGCTCAATTTATAACAACACAACCTTTAAAAAATTTGATCTGCCACCAAGCACTTTCTATTTACCGGACTTCAGCAGACACAGTTCAGAAATCAGAACACAAAAATTCCTCATGGAATTTATTGTGGCACTCCGCTTTCGCACCCAAACAAAACAATCAGGCACACACTGCCAAGAAACATCCGCGCAGCTTCAGGGCACCAGCAAAGAGCTGCTACGTGTAGGGCTCCTCTTCAACACTCTCGGGGCTCCTACCAGGGTGGAATTCTTGAACTCGCTAAAGCATTTGCAGATTACACGCCTGTCCGGTTAAACACTTCCTGCAATTTTGTTAATTATACATCAGGGTCTGCAATTAGGGAATGACTCCCATCCTAGACAACACACAGCTCTCAAGTCACCCCCCAGAGTGTTTGTGTCTACTGCCGTTTCTGTAGATGCCTCTGGTATGTATGCTATTATCCCAGACAGGAAAATACTTTCAAAACTTGAATAGAATGTGCAGTTCTACCGCTGGATGGTTTTCCTTTTCATTTTTCAGTGCTGTAGACCGCTTGTTTAGGTCAATACACATTTCTGTAGGTTGGAGTGGAGATCTCCGGGAGCAGACAAGTGCAACCCCAAGTTCAGGTTCCCTTTCTGTGTCCATCCCTCCCAGAGGCAGCCAAGCGCAGGCTTTCACACCAACCATCCCCCCTCCACATCGGCGTTATCCTCCGCTGTCAGCAAAGCCACCACACGCGGCCTTTTTCTTCTTTCCCCCTTGATTCGTCATCAAGATGTAAATTAGCAGATTCTCTCACAGACAGAAAAAAAAACCCAAAAACCCCATCGAACAATGGGAAACACTTCCCCGCCGGTGCCCCACAGGACAGAGGGAAACAGGATCCCCTGCGCTGGGGGAGTTACTCAGTGGGGATCAAATGCTGCTAAAAATACGGGAGCGGTGCGAGCGGGTCCGGGCAAAGCCCGGGCAGGGCCCGCGGTCCCCGTCCCGGAGCGTCCCCGCGCCAGACGGTGATGTCACCGCCGGCGGCAACAAAGGACGCGGCACCGGCCGGGCGGCCCCTGCCCTCCGCCCCGCCGGCGGCACCGCGCCTCCCGCCCGCCCGCCCGGAGCGCCGGCACCGGCCGAGACAAAGCGGCTTCCCCCGCGCTACGTGCGGGCGGAAAGGGAGAGGTTCGGGACGCCCAGCGCCGGAGCGGCGGCGGCGGGGAGGCGGCGGCCCCCGGGGCGGTGCGGGCCGAGCCCCGGGCGAGCGGCCCCGCGACCCCCGGCAGCCGCGGCGGGGCCCCGCTGCCCCCGGCCCGATGCCGCCCCCTCCCCTACCTGATATGGCGGCGGCGGCTCCTGATCCGGCTCAGCCCCGTCTCCGTAGCTAGCTCTGTCCGACTGGGACTCGTGGAGCAGCGAGATGTCATCCGAGGTGGGGGACTTGAGGCAGTTCCCCATCTTCCCGGGGGGAGCGCGGCCCCCCCTCCGCCTCCTCCCGCTCCGGATCCGCGCCCTCAGCCTCCCCGCCGCAGCGCGCAGCCCGCAGCCGCCCCGCCGGGGAGGCTCATGCCAGCCCCGGCCCTAAGCGGCTTAGCAGCTGCAGCCCGGCAGCCTCCCGCTCCGCTCCGCAGCCGCCCCGACCCCCGAGCCGGGGGGGGCGGCAGGACGGGCCTCCCACCCCCCGTGGGGCAGCGGGCTCCGGTGGGTCCGCCCGCCCCGCGGCTGCCCGGCGCGGTTCTGCTTCCCGGTCACCAGCTCCCTGCGCACTGGGCTTTGTCGCACGGGCCGCCCTGGCTCCTCCTCTCACCCCTCCCCGCCGGGCCCGGGGAGCAGCCGCGGGGCCTCGCCGGGCTCCGCGCCCCCCGGCTCCGCCGCGGGGACAGCCCTGCCCGCCCCCGACGGAACGAGGCGGGACGGGACAGGCTGGGGGACCCAGCCGCCTGCTGGGCTCCCCCGGCCCCAAAATGGTGGGAGCCGCTTCGCTCCGCCCCCGAGCGCCGTGTTTGTTTGTGTTCCGGGCATGGCGGAGCCGGCGGCCGCTCGGGCCCGGCGGGGCGGGACAGGGCGGGATGGCAGCGGGACCCCCGCACCGCCCGGCCGCCCGGCCGAGGGGTTTGTGCGGGGCCCAGCGACCTTCCCAAGGGTTCCCCCGCGGGCGGGTCCCCAGGCAGGGAGGGGGTTCCCCGTGCTGGTCGCTGGCGTGACCCAAGGAGCACTGTTAGCGTAGGCACAGGGCATTGAAGCCCAGAGTGGAGAAAAATCAGCAGCAGGGACTTGGCTTCTGCGTTTCTAAAGGTTTTTTATGCTATGAGCAGGTACTCCAATAAGCTGTATATTTAGCGCCTTTTTTTTTTCTCCATAAAAATATGTCCATACTTGGATATAAGCGTAGGTAAGTACTGATAAATGCAAATTTGAGGACAGCGAATGTTCCTGTGTCACTGTGTTAGTGTGCCAGCACTGACCCACACAGAGTGGAATATATGATGGTCCTGTTAATGTTCTTTGGTTCCTGAAAATTCATCCTTGGCCTTCAGATTCACACCATGGAAAATACTTTAAAATCCAATTTTCAAAGTGAAGTATTTTTTAAAGTGAAGCAAATGTGGTGCAGATGAGAGCAGCTGCAAAGTCCAGTCTGTAGGCAGTACAGCGTGGCTGCTGCTTATCACCAAGTTCTCTGCTGATACAGCTCGGGCCTGCTTTGCACCCTCTTGGGTCAGAGTATCTCCAGACCTGTTGTCCACAGTGACGTATTTGGCTCCACAACCTTTCCTGGTGGACCTCAGTCTGGGATCAGAATTTTTGCTGATTCTCCTTATGAGTTCATATGTAGATTTCATTTTATTGCTCCGTTTAGGGTGGTTTGTTTTGCTGCTTATCAATGGGTAAGTTAAACAACCCTGGTGTAAAGCCTGTGATTGCTGCCATTTATGGTGTTCTAACACAGTCTCGGGCTTTTCAAGGAAACTGAAACTGAAAATGGGGCAGGATTGTTGCTCAAGATGGTGAGGCTTTGCAATGGTGCATTGTAAATAGTGAGTGTTGTATGTGGCTTGCTCATTTGGGTGTTTATCCTATGAGTCTGTTGGCTTGGTTTAATAGAATTAGGCAAGCAATTGTTGGAGGAGATCCAGCAAACCACTGTCTCACCCAGTCGTGATTTCAAGGTTAAGGCAATGTCAGAGCTGTCTGCTGTGAGAACCTGGTGATGAAACTCCAGCGTTGTCACTGGTATTTTCAGTTGGGCAGTGGCACCACTGGGAATGAGATTATGGGCAGCTAAAAGACTGAGTTAGCTGTTCTCATATTTTGTTTTCTCTGTGAGGCTGGGGCCTGTATCGTTGATGTAGTTCAGTGAAAACCACAGGTCACACTGTGCCGTGGTGTGAGGCTGTGATCACAGTTTGATCCTCCACAGCGAGGAGGTCCTATGGAAAACTGTGGTGCCTCCCTGCTGGCTGACGTGCCAAAATAGCGTTTCTCTGGAAACCAGAGTGCAAACTGGTCTCATCCTGATATGCAGTCAGGACATAGGCGGGATTTCCTCTGCATCTCATGGTAGAGATGTTGCATTTATTTACCTTGAGGCCCATCACCAGAAGGAATAGCTGTTAATCCCACTTACAACTTTTCCCTTAGTGGGTACAGGATGCTCCGAATCTGGGCATGTTTGAAAAAATGCAGACTTGTCAAGTGCCAGAAGAGACCTGCTTTTCATGGTGGACTCACAGAGACTAAAGAGGAAGCAGAGGTTCATGTTTGGCCTTGCAACAAGACAGACTGCACCTGTGAGAGCTCTGAAGGGGAAGAGCTACTACCAGTCATGCCTGGATTCTTTGAAGTAAGGGTGGTTGAAGGCACTGCTTTTGCCAGCCATTCACTCCTGTTTTGTCAAATAGGTCATTAATAGTGGCTTTGCACCACTGGCTCAAAAGCTGTAAAAAGGTCCAGCAGATGGAAAATCAAAAAATTTTAGTGTTCGCAAATGTCTTTTAATATCCCTGTATATGCTGAGGTGTAGCTGTGAGCCTGCTCCTTTTGCTTTTTGCAGGCTGGGGACAAGGAAGCAGAGGAATGGGTCCTCAAAGGATGGGATTTATGGTATGGTTTCTGTGTTTTAGCAGAACCATAGGGCAGTTTAACTTCAGTTCTCTTTGGTTTTTACTTCCTCTACTTAGTTTGGGGAAGAAGTAATAGTCAGAATGGATTTTCTAGGGCCTTAAAATGCTTCTATAGAGGAAGAAAGATTCGTGTTGTGGCTTAGGGCTGCACAAATATTACAGACGGAAAAGATCATGCAAATACAAAAATTTGTGTCAGACTAATATCAATACAGAACTGGTAACACAAGTCAATGAAACTTTTTCTCACCTCTAGACATTTAAACAGTTGACTGTAATCTGTTGTCAGAGTGGAAATGTTTATGTTCTGAAGTTTGCCAGTGTGCAGAATTCATGTTCTGGTACACTTCAATACAACAATGTCACACGGGGGTCTGTCCTCACCCCCTTCTGGCAGCTACCATCTTCTCAGTGAAATCCATCTTTCAAAACAGAATGGAAATTCAAGAAAAAGAGCTTTAAACTATGCAGACAAAGTTTATGTTTAATTTTATAGGCTTTTGATATGAGAGGAGGCAAGTGACATATTGATGTATTCTTGAGGCTCATACAAGATAGAGATGAAGAACTGTTTTACTGAAAAATCCATTTCCTTTTGAGTTACGAATCTAAAATCCTCTGAGGACATAAAAAGTCCTTCTTGTTAGGAGTTCCTCTACAAAATTGACATCATAAGTTGCCTAATTTTTAAATGAAAGACCCTTTGATAACACTATTTTATGTGATCCATGTTCATGTTATTGTTGGACGACATTTTGGATATATTTAATATGTCATGCTTAACAAAAGTTTTTGAAAGACCTTTTCTGTCCTGAGCATGGAAAAGTTTTTTCACTTCCTTTTCTTCCATCAAGCTTATTTTCCCAGCACTTATCATCTCTCATTAGGTCTTATCTTTCTTCTGGATAGGATTGTTTTCCCAATTCATACACAGAAGCCCAGTTGATTTCTGAGTGCAGTCTTTCCATGCCGTGGTACCCAGAGGTTCAGAGATAACTCTGTTTGCTCGGGTAATGTTGGCGAATAGAACACAATGCAATTTTAAAACCTTTTTCTGGAGGAAAAAAAAAAAAGGACTTTGTCTACCTCTGGAGAATGGAAGTAAATTACATTCTTCCATTATGTATGTGAATCTGATTATGAGGATGGTGGAATTAATTTATCTGGTTATAAAGAACATGGCATCTTCTAAAATGCACATGATTATTTTTAGTTTTGTTGATTTTAGCTGAACTGTAGATGTTTCTCAGTGTATGTTACAACTGCATATTGCTTTCTGAGACAGAGTGAATGCAGCACTAGAAAGCAATTATGGAACTAATATATTTCCCTGAAATGTACTTTGTGATGCAGGATTTTACTCATGTTTCTAAAAATTACTTAAACTTCTGCCTAAATTATCCTGGTATCACAAATATGCCACTTATATCAATTTATCCCAAAGATACCATCTTGGTAAGGGGAAGTATTCCGTGACTGGCAAGAATAACTTGTTTTCCTTAATAACGATTTTCCCCAGATCCAAAATGTTTTTTTCAGCCAGGAGTGTAATGCCTGCCTATTCTGTGCACTGGGGCACCTGCACTGTAAGCCACAAAGAACAGAAAGAACATGTATTTTGGGACTAAAACACCCAAGCAACAAAACAGACAGTCATCACACAAAGGTGATGTCTTCAAACAAACCCTCTGTCACCCATCTTCCTGGGGAATTTTGTGTAGGAATATTTTTTTTTTTCTCCTTGTACCACATGTTGCTGTAGTCTCAACTTCAAGAATGATCAGAGACCTATAAAACATGATCTAAATGGGAAGATTGAAAGAATTGGGGTTGTTTAGTCTGAAGAAAAGGAAGGTGTTGGGAAAAATGGTAATGATCTTTCAAAAATATAAAATGTTTCTCTGCAGAGAGAAGGAATCAGTTTTTCTTTATGTTCAGTCGGTCTAGGGCAAGAGGTGATGGACTTGGAGATTTAAAGTAGATATTGGGAAATTATTTCAAACTGAAAATGTAGTTTGGCAGTGAAAATTATTATCTGGGAATCTCATTTGCTGAAGGCTTTGAAAGGCAGATTAGGTCACATGTTTCAGGAATGGTTTTAGTTGCAGTAGATTATATGGAGATAACCCCAAAAGGTTCCTGGCTGGTTTATGATGTTTTGTTTCTCTCAGGTGATTTACAGCAGATGCTTTACTGCTGTGTTATTTTGATTCTCATTCTTCCTTATGCTCTCAGAAAGTGCCAGTAAGCATAGATGTCAGTAGTTTAAAAATTGAGTAAGTAGGATGGGTGGGGATGTTTCCAATGGCAGAGTACTAAGGAATCACAGCTCCTGCAGGAAAGCTGGTGTGCTTGAGCAGAGTGTGACATGCTGACATATCACATTCAGCGTGTGTGACATTCAGCCTGTCCTGACATCCTTTGGGACACAAGTATTGGGCTGGCTTTCAACAAGTGGTGGTTAGTCAATACACAGAAATCTATGTTTTAAATTTTAATTGGAGCGTCACTTTTTGCTGTGATTGAGTATTTCCTGAATTTGCAAGGAGTGAACTGTATCCACAGTCCACCAGAAGCCAGTTTGTTAAACTTCTTGTTCCTCCAGTTCTCTGCAACAGTAAGGTGTTGGTATCCAAAGTGCTTGTAAACTGGTACCCAAAGTGCTTGTAATTCTTTGAAACAGAGTTGGGGAAATAATTGTTCTAGTTAAATATGCATTCTGCTGCAAAATTTAAAACACCTCTTGTTCACCTTCTCCATACTCTTCCTGTTTTTCTCATTTTCACCATTCTTCCTGTAGCCTAAAATCTCTATTTTCTTCCTGTAGGTAATTGTAGGTCTTCTGCAATAAAATAGTGATAAAATGACACATGAATAGAACTTCATGAGAACCTAGGGAGTGTGACCTGTCAATTCTGGTTGACAAAGACAGCTCTGCCCAAGTCCAAGATCACCTATGTCTTTGTCATTCCTTGGCAGAAAACTGTTGAAACTCTTTCTGGATAGTGAATGATGGCTACAGGTACAATCACCTATGTCTTTGTCATTCCTTGGCAGAAAACTGTTGAAACTTTCTGGGTACTGAATGATGGCTACAGGTACTGTGTTCTAATCCCTTACTGCTTCAAAAAATGTCCTGAGATTGCTGTAAGTCAAACTCTTTATTATGTGTTCTGTTTGCATTGCTAAAGCAATTTTATATATCTGAAAACTGTTACAATGCTTTGTTTCAGTTTTTCCTTATGGATCAGGATTTGTAAATCTCTGAGATGATTCACTGTCCTGCAACCTCCTTCTTTGGTCCACTTTTCCAGTAAGCATGGCACCCCAAGCTGCACTGAGTGATCCAGTTATAACCTCAGTGTTCAATAAAGGAATATTATTTAGTGTGTACAAAAATGCCATTGACCAAATGTAGTGTCCTTCCTTTTCCTAACACACTGTTGCCTGCAGCGTGTAGCTCCTGTCACTCCCTATCCATCTCCATGCAATTCCTGCCTACTCAGATTTTCTTATTTTATGCTTCTCCAGATGATTATTCTGAAGAGTACTATTTTGCACTTCCTGTTGAAGCTCTGGTCTGTGACAGCTTAGCTGACTGAATTGCAGCAGACAAGTTACTGGAGACTGAACAGAAGGAATGTGAGAAGGAACCATTGAAGATTTTGTACTAAAAGTATCAGGTGGTTGTGAATGACTGCCCTTGGGAAATTCACTTTATCCTCTGGCCAGAAATGTTTCTTCTTAACATTTAGTTTTGCTTTTTGATTAGTCTGTGTTTGTACAGCCTCCTCTTGGAGGGACAGGCTGGAAATTTGTACCAGTATTTGCTTTTGCATGCTCAAACACTACTGTGTTTCCTGAAAAAAAAAATTCTAGAAAACAGCTATATCATGCAGAAAACAGAAGTTCTCATAAATTAAGCCTCTAACAATATGAAAAGGAATACAAGAAGGTAATTTTACAATTCCTTAGTCTGTTCTGATTTTGGTTGTGTGGAGATTCCTATAAGACATGAAAATCTTGCTTGTTTACTTACATGACAAAAGAGGAGAAAGGCCTTTTTTTTTTAGCAGAACATACTGTTTGAACAAACACCACAGTGAAACAAGACAGCTAAAGGCACTGTAAGTCTATTCTTTTTTATTGTTTGTAGTGTTTAGAAAATTTTGTGTCTAAGAATAAATTATTTTTCTTTTCATTTCACATTTTCATTTCTTTTCACAATTTTCATTTTTGTGAAGTGCATGCCTACAGTTAGTTTTTATGACAGCAAACTGTTCCCTCTTTCAGTTAAGTTTACAAAAATTGCACAGTCTGTGGATCTACTTAAACTTTTATTTGGAGGCATTATCATCTTAGCAGTGGACTTGCAGGCTGCTTCAGAAATTCTGAAGGCTGCGTATTGACTTAGAAAATGTCTCAAAAACCACAGGCACACCATTTGGTGTTTTGGTCTGTGTGCTGTTCCACAAGCACTCCTTTAGACATGGGGGACTGCACAGAATCTCTGCAAGACACAGGGTGATTGCAGTGGAGGCATTTTGCCTCTGGCTTACAAGCTGTACACCAGCACAGTGCAAGGGTTAAGGACAAGATAAAATCACTTGCTGCTGTTTTGATTTCCTGAGGAGTTGTTTTCTTCACGTGAGAAATGAGGAATGCAGTAAAGACCATTCCTGTGCCAAAATTTCCAAGTATGTTTCTGTCAACTGTGGTGCCATTCATAGGTTTTACATCAGAATCTTAAATTTGCATATAAAGATCTCTGTTGTAGAAGCCCCATCTTGTGGACAACCAATCAATGACTACTTCAGCACAACTGAAATCTGAAATACTTAGAAAATCTGGAGATATTTTGGTAGGTTTTGCAACAAACTGGAGAGTCTTTGTATTTCTGGAAAATATGGAGACTTCATTCATGTGTAGAAATCAGCATGTGCTTTCCAAAGACTATTTCCACAGGTGTGAATTGCAGAGAGGTATTAACACTGGGGTGGAACCAAGGATGGTGCCCTCAGAACCCTGTTTTAAGTCCAAATCAGCTAAAACACAAGCCTGAATCCTGGCTTGAATTCCCAAAATAGTGTCCTGTAGCACTTGGATAGTACAAATGAGTCTTTAAGTGGCAAAATCATATAAGGGCAGAAGGACATCCTTTGAAAAAAATTGTTAAGAGAGAAAGAATGGCAAAGTATGCATAAAAACTGAATCTGGAGACTTTGGAAAAATCCTTAAGGAGATTGTTTGTTTCAGCACAAAGTAGTGGATGAGGTCAGCAGCTCCAGACTCAGTGAGTCAACACACTTAGTAGGAAGTAAAAAGAGTGTGAAAACAAGGCTGTGATAAAAGCTATTTTCAGGTTTCAGTGTGACCTTAGTAGGATATATTAGATATATTCTATTAAAGCGAATGATATGTGCATATAATTAGAATGTCTTTTTGTTGCTCTGAAGAAATAGGGTTGCTCTATGATAGTTTTCTGTTTCTTCCATGAAGAAAGTAGGATCCTTCATGATAGTTTTCCGTGTAGTAATTAAGGCTGTACTGAAGGTGCCAGAAAATGTGGCGACATCTAGGGAAAGGTTGGCAGAAGTGCCTGCAACTGAAACAACTCCCACTGAAACTGTGGCCACTTCTTTTTTTGTGAAGGTGCAGGGAATGTTTGGTTGGAGTGGCTTATTTGGAAGGGATGCCGAGAGTAAAGAAGATTCTGGCATGGGAACAGGGTGCCACTGCAGCCTCTTTGATGGGAGCAGGACAGGGGTTGCTTTTCCTACATGTGAATGTCTGACTGAGCAAGGGGATTAACAGGGGCAGAAGTTCAGAATTTGGTCATTGCAAAGCCAGGAAATAATTTCTTAGTCCTTACCAGTAGTAGTCTGGATGAATCTTCACTTTTAAGACATACCAGTTGCAATACATTTTAAAATTATCCTTAGAAGTGAGTGTACATCTGCCACTTCACAGTCTAAGTTTAAAATAACTGTTTCTTTCATATTGAGTTGAAATAATGAGATTTGCATCATTCTGTAGTCTGGAAAATTCATAAACAGCTCATTTGTAACATATATAGATCTGAAAAATCACCTTTCTTAATCAGCTAACAGGTACAACTATAAATGCACATTATCTGTATATTACTAATAAATTCACAGAAATATCTGACTCCTTTTGCTTCTCATATTCTTTTGGAACAGAATTCTACATTTTTGATGGAGGGCATCTTTGATGAATTATCTGACCAGTGCAAAATCTTTGAGAAAAATGTATATTCCAAATTGTTACCTCGGTCTTCTCCTTAAGGAAGAGAATATTAAAACTTCAGCAATATACAGGACTACAATATTTCCCTGAGAGCAAATTCTGCTGGAACCAGCATGTGCAATCAAAATCTTTCTTAGTGTGAAGTGAAGCCATGAAAGGATCTTTGCAGCTCCTTTCTGTGGAAGTTGTTTCTTCCTCAGGAGACAGGGAACAGCAGATGCTGATTGACCCCTCAAGGGAAGAGCAGATGAAGTGGGAACAGCTACTTAGAATTCCCTGCACTTAAATAATAAAGCATGAACAGTTCAGCAAGAGGAGTACAGACAGATATTAGTATGGTGTGAAGTCTAGAGGAGCTACAGCCTAGGAAAAGAAAATGAAGATGTAAAGCTTGTCATGAAAGGGTGTTGGAAAGCAAGGATTTATTCCAGCAGGGTTAAGGGAGGGAATAAGGGCTGCTCCACCAGGTGAGTGCATTGTAGTACAGAGGAAGGACAGGTCTTGGTGTAAAGGACAGACTATTGCCTTATTCTCAGCAGAAGGCTCTAGAAAAAGTAGTTCTTGGTAAAAGCTAAGTCTCTGAAGGAGTAGAAGAAAAGGGTATAATTCAGTGATACTTCTTGGATTGGATTGTATTATAAATTACAGGTGTTTGTTGATGCCCGTATGAGAAAGAAGGAAATTAAAACATAAATTAAAAAATTACATCAAGAGCACTTTGTTGTACCTTCCCTGCTTAGGTACAATAAAGTGTTCAGTTGCAGAGGGTTCCTTGCTAAAAGTTGCAGAGTAGTATTTATTTCTCATAGATTTTTTTCAAGAAAATACAGCAGAACTGGAAACTCAAAGTTTGAGTGTAAACCTGCAGTAATCCACTGTCAGAAGAATTGTGTAGGTGTATAAAATTGATTTCAAAGGGAATGAAGAGGTGTGACTTGTGAATTGCTACTTTTTAAAGATAAAAAATTAGTTCACATGTAGGTCATGTTAAAAAAAGAAAGTAATTTTTTGTCCTTATCTCTTTATTATGCACATTTTTATAGATTTTTTTGGTTGCCTCTAGCCTTTCTTCTATTTTAAATATTCTCAAAATTTTATTGAGATAAAAATGTTAACAGTTGTAATAATACTGATATATCAAGTGATTTAGCATTAGAAAAGAGATTTTCAATGGCCATTTGAAAACAAGGCTTGATGTGTTGTGTTAATCCAAATCTATGCAGTTGAACCTTGAGCACTTGTGTTTGTAATGTATAAAATTGTTCTTTTAAAGCTGTCTCTGTCTTGTGTCCCTTCCTCTCCAGCCCAGTCCCTTTGTCCAGAGCTGTGCTGGTGCCCCAATGCTGTGACCCCATTGCACCAGTCACCACCAGAGGATCCACTTCCCCAGGGATGGATCCTGGTCCCTGTGCTGTATCAGCCAGGAGAGGAGAAGGACAGACCCTGCTGTCACCAAGGACACACCAAATCTCTCCTGAGCCTCATCCAAAAAGGTTCTGTAATTTACAGTTCTTTATGGCAGGACACTTCTTCTGGTATTGTCATGAGCATTTTAAAATGTTATCAGACAATAACTGCTATCACAACTTTTAATTCTGTGTTTCTGTTTCAAATTTTCCTCAGTTCAATCAGAACCAAAAGTTAATGCCCGTTGGCTAATTTCCAGTGCATGCCTCCACAGAACAACTGCTGCCTTTAACTGGTGGAGAGATCAAGGCTTGAACTGACAAAAGACATCTGTATTTTGGAAAACAAATTAATGTTTATGTTTTAATTTATAAGTTCCTGGCTCTTTTATGGTTCCTGTTTTTCAAGTAACGTCTCTTTGGATCCCTAGCTGATGGAGAGTCAAAATGGAAAAGGCCCATGAGAGAATTATCACAATAGAACATCTGGTCTGCATTGGAAAAAGCTGAGAAAGATATTCAACATCTCTGAGACTGAGGCAGCCATGAGGCAGTTTGAAAGTCAGTCCATGAAAAATTGTGCAGGTTGTGACCACCTGGGCCAATCTAGTGTTGTTTTGGGAAGAGCTACTCTGCTCATGAGCATCTGAATTTTCATCTCCCTTGAGCATGGATATGTGAGAGCTGGGAGTGGTATGAAAGGTGTTTGCTTTCCATAATGTTAATCTGAGTCCCAGCATTGTCCTAATTATATTGTGGGTTTTTGCCAGTCTCCCAGATTTCTTTTGAGCACGTAGGCTGGAGTCAAAAGGCTTTCCCAGGGCTTTTGGCATAGCTTTACAGGAAAGTGGATGGAAAGGACTTTGTATATTTTTGCAAGAATATTTTGCATCCTGCTTTAAACTATTCCAGAAGGTAAAAGGACATTAGCTAGACTGTGTTGGCTCATGTACTGCTATGTCACTAATGAGAAGGAGTTTTATTCCTGTTTTCTGCAGTCACAGACTGTAAGAAATGCAAAGAAATCATGGGCCAACCAGGGCAGTAAAGGTACCCCTGGATTCAGAGGGAATAAACTCCTTCCACCACATGGAACTTTGGTCCTTTAAGTCATTATAGCTCATGCAGAACAGAAACAATTTGACATGTATAACAAGAAACATTGCAAATTGTTTGCCAAACAAAGACTTATACTGCAGATGGAAGAACTGATGAAAATTGTTTATAGATGGGGAACTAAATGTAGATTTTTCAAGAACAAGGTTGCTGTCTTCCTTGCCAAGACAAACAAATCTGATAGACCATCTCATTGCTTTAGGCTGCCTGAGGACCCACTGGAAAGTCTATGGACCTTTTTCCACAGAAAATTTGTGTATTGTCAATACATAAGTGTATTGTCCACAGTTACACTGTGGCAGCTGCAGAGGAAGTGGAAGGTTCTCAGGAATACATTAGGGAGAACTGGATTTTTGGCTTCTGAAACAGTGTGGAGTGCTTTTGGAAACTGTGGAAGTTTATAAGCTGGATGTTACTGCTACAAAAGGTTATCTGTGAGTAAAATATAATACTAATTAATCTGCTATCTTTAGATGTTAACATTAACAACACAATGAAATTGAGAAATCCTGTCTTCTAGAATTGCAGTTTCCAAGGTGCCTTTATTCCTGTGAACATACCCTGGTGTGCATTTAGAGATTTTCAGTTACCTTTAGAAATCTGTGCACAGATGTTTTTGCAAAGCACTGTGTAATCATCCCAAACAATGGTTTTAATGGGCCAGTTATTTAGGAAATCATGTAATGAGAACATAAATACAATCCCTGATACTGACATAAAACATGTATTAGCAAAATGATATAGTTTGTATTTCCTTGATATAGAGCAGACCCTGGAAATACATAACTCATCATGTCCTTAAAATTCTGTTATATCTGTAAACATCTATCTTGGCAGAGAGACCCAGCAGCATCCTGGGCTGCATTAGGAAGAGCATTTTTAGGAAGTCAAAGGAGGTGATCACTGCCCTTTGCCCAGCACTGGTGAGGCTTCAGTGGGAGTGCTGTGCCAGTTCAGGGCTCCCCACAGCAGGAAGGACATGGACATGCTGGAGGGAGGGCAGGAAAGGACCATGAGGGTGGACAAGAGGAACATCTGTCCTGTGGCTGCCCAGGGAGGTTTTGAAGTTGACATCATTGAAGAAACTCCAAACTCAGCTAAGCAAGGTCCCGAGCACCCTGCCCTGGGTGATCCAGCTCTGAGCTGGGCTTGGGCTGAGTGATCTCTGGAGATGCTTCCAGACTGGGAATATTTGAGGCAGTTTGCTTGTGTCTTGTCAGTGTTTTAGCTGCAACTCAACTGTGGAGGAATCCTAAGGAGAGCAAAGGCTGTGACCCCAGAAATTCATCCAGATGGCTGAGGCCCAGAAAAGGCATAATGGGAGCTGCTAAGTACTCGGAATGTCTCATCAGAGTGATATTTCACTTGAAAATACAAAATAGAAATTACTTGGGTCTTAATGACACTGAATACCCATAATGTTCTCTCACTTCAGCTGGACTGCAGATGGTAACCTCTCTCTATCTGAACATGTTTATTTTAGTTTAATCTTGCTCTGTACAATTTTAACATATATTTTACTCTAGAAATTAATACTTGGTGCTTTACAGTGCAGAATTTATTTGCTTGTTTGTTCCACACTTTCTTTCCTTTGTAGTACTGATATTAACAAATTACAATCTACTTTGACATATTACTTCAGTAATAAGCACATACCATATCTGAAGGAGTTGAAAATATCCTAATTTGAGCAAGGTAAAATCAAAATATATAATTACATTGCATATTCTATGGCACTTAGTTTGTAGCTATTCTTACAGTACCTTCAAAATAAGAAGGAAGATGAAATTCAAAAAGGGCTTTCATAGTTGAAAACTATTTATGTTGAAGCAAGTTTTATGTTGAAAGGCAAAGATAATTTTTTTTTAAATCATCTGAATAGTGGTAGGAAAATTCACCTGTGGTTTTTCTTTATGAAAAGGAGCTAACTTGCAGTATTGAGAATTTCCAGGTCCTTCTTCTTTGGAAAAGTCTTTGTCTTTTATATTGCCTCTTAAGGAAAAAGGAAAGCACACTGGAAAACAAGAAATTGAGCAACATTGCACAAGTAGTTAGATAATAAACAGATTATAAAACATTTTATTTCATTTTGGTTTTGCACTTCAGCAAGTGAAACAATAAGTAAATAACCTGTTTCTTTATTATCAATATATGGAGTCACATTAGGTCTGACAGACCAAGGCATAAATGTATAAATGACACCTGTGATAATTAGATGTTAGAGGACATCAGATTTTCCTGGGGATGAGCCCATTGTGAAACCACAAAATTAAGACTTCAGAAGAAAATAGCACATGAAGGTCAAATGTACTTAGTCATTGGTTCAGCAACCAATTTCTCTGCACCACTTTCCCCTGACTTAATGTTTTTACAGCACATCTCTGATTCAGTCTCCTCTATCCTGTGTGGGATGGGGTTTTTGGGGGGAGAGTATTACTTTAAATTGACACCTCTAGCAGCAGTTCCTACTTGTACTGCTTTCCCTTTATAAATGTGTAACCTATTATATCTATCCAAGCCTGGCTGAGCTCCAAGCCACCCATTTCTCAGTAATACAGGAAATTAAATCTAATGTCTAATAAGCGTAGAGGCTTATGCAACCTTCATTCCCTGTAAAAAGTATTAAATAACATAATAATATTACCTTGTCTTTTGATTGCTAGAGAGCTGTGCACTTAGTTTTTATGTAGACCAAACTGGCTCTGCATTGGGGCTTGAAGAGTCTGGGTTTATCCATCCTTTTTTGCAGACTTACTGAATTTCACCTGGAAAATTCTCCTCTTATTAAAGGACCCCCTGAAATGTTCATATGTAGGGTTTGGTCCCTTTCTCCACTCCTCCCTTTGTTCCCACAGAGGGCTGTGTCCCCCATGATCTCATCCTGGGGGTGCTGCTGCTTTCTCATTCATTCTCTCTCCCCTGGGATTTTCCAGCCTGAGCAGATTTCTGCCTGTTCCATCCCATTTTCTGATAATACCCACCACAGCTCTGTGTCAGGTGGTGCAGCCTTTAAAAATGCAGAAATCTGACTTTAGGCCGTACAGGTTAGCAACATAATTTCAGGGCTTTGTCTCCTGCATGTGCCAGTTCAATAAGTGGATTTATACTGAATAATTTTAAACTGTTACAGCCCTCTGAAATCATTTCTCTCTTGCTGCTGTAATACATAAAGTGGCATAAGGTCACTGATGCTGTGGAAATTGGTTTTGGAGTTGATATGCTAATTCAGCAAGAAATCAGTTCTAGCAGAAATGCAAAGAAAATTGTTTTAATCTAGTGCCATGCTACTTTGTTGGCTTTTAGGAAAGAGATAATTAAAATATTCAAGGGAGTTCCAAGTCTGTGTAAAAAGTACCATTTTGGAGATTTAAGGTTATTTGTGCCTCAAAGTTTATTAGCTTCTTCTCTGAAAGCAAATAAGCTGAATGTGATGGACACAAATACGACATTTTCACATGCTCAAAAAAATAAGAAATAAGATTTTTTTTTTTAACTGAGTTCTGTATAAGAATAAACTTGGTTCAGTCTTTTCTGTGTCACTCACCCCATGTTTACAGTAACTGCTCCTGCAATTCTGTGGATGAAAACTTCCATGTAGATACATCCAGAGCCATTAATGAGGATGCATTATGCAACTAATTGCAATGGGGAACAAAATTACATTAATGGTGCCTAAGGAGAAAGAGAATCTCTGCACTCAGTGTGAGTAAGGGGTAGCCAATGCCTGATTTTTTCCAAAACAAATATTTAAGTTGAATTGAAAACAATAGTTGATCTCTGAGAATAATCACTAAGAGTTTGAAAGTCCTATATTTTTTTCAAAACCCTGCACTTATACTAAGAATTTTCAAGCACAAAAAATAAAATAACTTTAATGCTTACTGTGTGAATATGCCAAAGGAAAAAAAATTAGCAGCATAAACTCTTTAATCTTTTTGAGATGAAGAACAGAGAAAATAGAAATGCATTTCTAAAAAACATTTTTTAAAAATATCTGAATTGTAAAAGTAGTGCTGTCATTGCCATATTTTAAAAGGTATTTTAATTTTGTAATAAAAAAAGATGACATTTTACTCTCTGTTCTTTTCTAAAACAGGTGCAGTGCTTCTGTTTGCAGAGGAAGGACACCAGCTGCAACAAGAGTAGTGTCTGTTCTAGAGTGAGGGATGAGCTCCACTGGGCATGAGTTGGCTTCCCTGGCTGCAGGGCTCAGTATTTCATTTCAGCAAGTCTGACATTGCTCAAGTCTTCATCTCCTCCTGCACTTTATGCTACTGCAAGGACAGGTTGTATGTTATTGAAGAGAGAGAAGTAGAAAATGCAATTCAGTGTTTTATTTTATGCTCCCCAAGTTTACTCAGACACACCCAGAGAGAATGTGTGCTGCACTCAACTTGGAGATCTTGTGTTAGAAATCCTGGCTCCCCTGTGCTTTCCTGCTTTGCCTGTAGCTGATAAGAGAGTTCATAACAGGAACCCCCTGTTACCTCAGCTGCAAAAGGTTCTGAGAAACTAACAGCCAAGAGAGTAGAATTTAAATTTATTTTTGTTTGTCTTGTGTTTCAGCAAGCATTTAAAAGATCCCCCAGTTTATCTTTGTCAGAGATTGTTTTCCTTTTGGCTTAGGATGGACACCAATCTCACTGTTGAGTTTACATTTATGGAGTGGGACCCAAGGTTTTCCAGTGTTATGATTTTGACTTTGCAAGACTTGTTGCTTGGGATAGGTGTAAAGGTCATGTCTGCATGTACAGCAAGAACAGAACTGGGGTGTGGATGCTGCTACTTAGTCAGTTGAGAAGGAACAAAAGTAATCCTGAAGGCTGCCTCTCCTCTTGGCTGGCAGGCAGAAGAGTTGGTAAAAGCTGCAAAGACAACTGAGTATAATGATGGTATTTATTCCACATTTTATTTCTTAGGTGGATTTTGAGGACTAATTTCTAAAATGTAGTTATTTTACTCTCCTTTAGCAAACCATGTGTGGCCACAGCTGTTTTTCCAAAATGCCTGGTTTTCTTGCTTTTGTTGCCACCAGTCGAGTTCTCACTCCACATAGCAATGTCCACAAGGTGGTGCCACAGCTAAGAAGTTTGCAACAAATAAGACAAAAGTAATTTGATAATTCTGTCTGCTTTTTGTAACTGACTAAAGTAGCTGCATCATTAAAGAATTAATTATTTCATAAGCCAAATATCACAGGTTTGCAAGCTCTTTTTTTAAACCACTTGTGTGAGCAAAGGTGGGCCTGTCTGCTGAGCAAGAGCAGCATCCACAAGCCTGTGACTATCCCAAATCCTGTACAAAAATGAAGAGGCAGCTCAGGGTTTAGCAGACAGGCTGATGAAGGGCTGTGTATTTCCTAGCAGGATTACCTGTGTCAACACTGGCATGTGTCTTATGTTTTTATCTGATCATTTCAGCAGGAATCAACCTGGATCCTGACAAGCAGAAAAGTTCATCCACAACTTCAGCCAAGACAGCTTCTACTTACCCTAGAGTGGCTATGGCACATCAGACCCAAATCTCCTGAGTTTTTCCTAGAGCCAGGGATAACCAGGCTGCCTGTCCTATACTAATTTACAGCTGACTGTTAATTCCAAAGGGTGTGAAGTGCTTACAGAGGGACCTGCACTGATGCTCAAGTTTCCGAGCATCTTTCAAGAAAAGATCAGACTAGAGAAGGTACAAGGCAGTAACAGGGAATGGAAGAAGTCACGTGTCCAGTACACAAAAGACAATAAAACTTCCATAAAAAGTTGTTTGTAGGGGTCTGGATGACTTCTGTATGTCGCAGAAGAGCTGAAGTGCAGCAGGACTTGGCCGTGCCCCTGAGAAGGTGTGTGTCAGTTCTTCAGCTACCCTTGGACACGTGGTGCTTCTTGCACCCCTGCCCTGCTCCCCTCAGTGGCCTCTGCAATCCAGGTATTTGTGCTAGCACAAGAAATACTCCCTGTCAGCTTCTGCAGTGGACAAATGAAGTTTGAATCATTTGTTCATTACGTATTTTTGTACCAAAAGCAGCAAGAAAAAGGGATACCTTAAAATACCATTCAGACAAGCAGTGCATTGACTTGCCTCCAGCTAGAATCTCTCTTTGGAAGGCCTGTATCAGAAAGAGAAAAATAACAGGGTTTGCATAATGTTTCCTCTAAACTGCTACATTATTATTTTAAAACATACTAAAATTCTTCTGGCTAGTAAGAGACTCAGTGGAAATTATGTATACCTAGGAAAGATGGTTTGTCCCCCAGTTACAAAGTAGAATGAGAGTTAGAAGCTTATTGAGTCCAATTCTAAAAGTTGTCAAATCACACAATGGTCACCTATTTTGTTTTTAAGGATCTAATCTATAAATTATATGTAAAAGTGATTTACATAGTTTACAGGGTTCACAAGTATTTTGAAACTTTGTATTGGTTTCAACATCTGTTTGAAAAAGTCAGTATCTAACCTGAGAACTAACTAAAAATATAAAGTCATGAACAGGTCAAGTAGAATTAATTTCTGAGTCAGTCTGTTGAGTTAGCTTGAACTAACTGAATCATGACACTGACATTGTCAGAGTATTCCTGTAAGATTGTTCTGAGTGTATGGCTGCAATGTGTCTTGCAATTAAATTGATATATTTCTGGTTTAGTTTGGACTTTGCTTTTTCTTTGACTTTGGAAAATTCTTTCAAAAATGTTTACTTTTCAGATATTTTGCACAGAGAAAAAATGATGCTCTATTCTGAAGGGAATGAATGACAGAGTATCTAAGATCATGCATCTAAGTCTCCACGGTGTGGAAGTCCCAGGTATGCGTTATTTCAGCAATTTAACAACAGAGTTGAAATCCTGAACACTCTCCCTTGCAGTATTTGCAATAATTTTCTGCTTTTATCGGAAATCATAAGTATTTTTAAAAGATCAAAACGGTTTTTCCCCTAAGCCTGATTTTCTGGATTCCCATTTAAGCAATCATGAACAAAACCTGCTTCAGCTCTGTGCCTGAATCATCCTGGGAGGAGGTGACTTGCAGTGTTGTGAGTTAGGAGCCAGTGTGAGGCTGGCTCAGAACTCCTCCTGCAGATGCAGGCGCTCACCGGAAGCAATTGAGGATGGCAGTGGTATCCTGCAGGATGTGTGCGACTGCTCAGCGGGGGCTTGATTTACACGGGGACACATTATAGATTATACATTCTGGTAATTGTGGTATTGTTATTGCTGGGCTGGATCTCAGCACAGGAAGTACATATAAGCACGTTTGAAGTGATAACATCCACTCCTGTTTAAAAAGCAATATTTTATTCTCATCCATAATGCAGTGTTTGCAAAGGAAAATAGATAATTTGCTAACTAGTACTTAGCATGACTTGTAGGGAAAAAGCTGACTCATTATGGGAAGGTCACAACCAGCATTTACAAATAAATCCACTTAAACTTTTAATAATTTTAATTTTTTTTTTCAGTATGGACTGTAATCCAAGATCAGGAAGGAGACAATGCATTGCCATCTGAAACACAACGAAGATCAAAATAAGTTTTCAGTGTGTCACCAAAACCACAGTGCTAGGTTTCTGTTAAGGAGAATGAGTAATACCATTCTAGCTGTAAAGGTTGCTGTGAGTGGGTAATAATTCCATCTGATAGGGCAGATTATGTGTTCTGCAAGAAAATAAATAATCCCAGGCAAAATCTTGCCCTATTTCTTCAGCTCAATAAGAAAGCCATACCCACCATACCCACTTAGCTGCTGTATGCATGCTTGTCCAACTAGGATTCAGGAACAGGTCTGTTCTCCATCCTACATGCCCAAACCAGCCTTGTTCAGGAACACATTGCCTCCAACCTTGGTGTGGAATGAGGAATCTGTTCCTGCTGCTGCTCCCAGGATGTGGGATGTGGGTTGACCCTCAGCTCTGCAGCTGCAGACAGTGTGTGTCGAGGCCCCTCTCAGAGCCTCTCTCCCCCTTTCTCTTGAAAAGTGTAGGCTTCAGACCTTTCTGGGCACCCAGGAAAATTAGTGCCCAGCCAGGGCTCACCCAAGTTCCCTCCTGGAGTGGGATAGGAATCTGTTCAGAAGAGGAATGCAATAACCATTTCAAATTTTGTGTGCCAGCCTATTTTCCACAGACAGCACAAATTGACAGAACACAGGTAACATATTGTTCATGCTTTGCCTATTTCTTACTTTGTGTTGCCAGGGAAAATAGATTAAAATTGGTATTAAGTTTCCTTCTTGTTCTTCCAATAATAGAAAATTACCAGTGAAGAGAAAATAAGACAGAGGTTTTGTTCTCTAGAAAAGTCTTCCAGCTAAATGGGTTTTTTTCAATATTATGAAACATTCTTGCCTGCCTTAATAGATGAGAAAAGTAACAGTAGAACTGTGAAACAAATCAATACATCAAAAATATTGAGCCATGGACCATAGCTAAATCTGTATTCATATTTGTGATAGTGTTGCAGATGGATAATACAGTGCTGTACTGATGCTATGTTGTATACATTGATTTGTTGCAATGACAGCTACGGGTGAGGTTCTAAACAAACACTGCAACATATAATAAAGGACTGACCTACTAACAGATCTAATAATAAAACAGATCTAATAAAAACATCTAATAAGATGTGACAAGCACATACATAAACTAATCCAAAACCTAATGATTTATTTCACAGTTTCATGAAAAAAAAAAAAACTTTTTATTGTATTCTGTCTTTATTATTTAACATTAAGAATACATTTTTCTTTATAAATTTTAAATGCTACCGGTCTGAAATTTTTGTGCAGACAGTCAAACTAACATTGAACAGAAGTAGTTTTTCCAGATGTCATACCTACAAAATTTTGAAATTATAATCCTGCTGATGCCTCCTGATATTAATATGCCTTTGCATTGGGGTAGCCTCATGACAGTCTTTTTTGGAAGTGTCACCTGCTTAAGTAAGATTTGATTTACAAAGTAATGCTAAGATATGTTTAAATTGAATTAAGTTCTTCACTATTTTCCTGAATAGGAATCTCTGTCCCTAGTTTTAACTTGTTTAACTGTTTAACAAAGGAGCAGCTTCAGTCATATTGAGAGGACTTATGCAAGTTTTCACAGCTGATTGTTGGGATGAGAGCTGTGAAAACAAAGATCAGGTGAAGATCCTTTCTTGGAACACACTAGGATATGAGTCTCTATTTTTATTGGTAGTTCATAAGTCTATTAAATAGACAATAATAACTTAAATATATTTATATTTTTGTGTGTCATTGGAGTCAAACAGCACACCTACGTGGCTGCAGTATGTGTGACTCTTCCTGCAGTACATTCAGGTTTTGGCTTTCATTAGGCAGTAAGGCATGTTGCCTGCAAAAATATGACACAACTTGAAAAGGAGACTCTTAATTTCATATGGGAAATTTGTTTCATCCCTCTTTACATGACATCAAAATCACTTTGCCTTTAATTGTGACTACGGAAATGAAAATACCAGGCCACAGGATTTGTAATTAACTTAAGACATCCAGAGGAAATTCTGTAAGTTGCTTTAGTCTCTTTATTTTGCCTTTTCTGAAATCTCTCTGATTTTTGTTTGAGTTTATAAGAGCAATTGTTAGTGGAAATGTCTGTGTTTCCATTGAAGTGCTCTAACAAGCTTTTTGGTCTCACTTGAGCAGTGTAACAGGACACCCAAAACAACTGAGATGTCTTTAGGTCTTAGATATTTGGTTTCAGTATTCCATAAAATATTTGAAAAGGTAAGAGTTCCTTAAGCATCAGAAGACAGAGAGTTTAAAGATCAGACTGAGCCATGCCTGCTGCATTTACTTCTCCAGTAAATCTGTCAGGACACTGACCAGCTGGGCTGCCAGATGTATTCCTCCACATTTTGGGTAAGTAATCACTTGGACCTACTGGACAGGCTACAGGCTGTGCCTGAACCCATTTGCAGTTATTTTAGGTGACATACTAAAGTGGTCAGCATAAGCTTAAAAGACTTTATCCAGCACTTTGACAGCATGCCAGAGGAAATTCCTTGGGATTCAGAGTCTAAGATTTCATTTCAATTAATTGTCAGAATGATGAATATTATTTATTCCACTCTAAGGCTCATTTTAATCTAAAACATGGTCAGATGGTGTCAATGCAGGCAAAATGTTATTTCTTCCTGCATAAGAGCCCATCTAGATATAGTCCAGTTTGCTCTCCTGTCTCTAGATTTGGTCTGAAAGGATAACAGGAGTGGAGACTGCAGCTGGCCTAGGATTCCCTGGCACTTGAACCTCATCTAATTAGGCAAGTCTATTTTCCCACCAAATAAAATTATTAAAAGCAACAACATTATGAATTGAAACTCCTCAAAATTGTTAAATTCTGTCCAGTTTGGAAAAGGAGCTTTATCAGGCAGTGGAGCCCAGTGGGCAGAGTGCTGGGCAGGGATTGAGAAATCTGAGTTCTCTTCCAAACTCTCCTGACTTTTAAATGACCTTGAGCTGTCACTTCTCTGTGCTGCAGTTTCACAGTCTGCATGAGCAGGGTAATAATCCTCCACAAAGGTTTGAGAGTTGCTGGAGGAAGGATCTGTATGAACACAACATTTCTTGCACTAGCCTGAGCTAGGTGCAGCTGTGGTTAGAGGTGGCCAGGATTTGGTAAATTCCTCATCTCTTCCAGAAAATCTGGGAAATTGTCATTGTTCTACTCCCTGCTTTCAGTTGTCTGTCAAAACACATTTTCATGTTAAAGGTCTTTCTTATCTTCAGACCATTACAAAATATCTCCAGAAAATTTCATTTTATTTAGTTATGCATTAATACTCACAGTTCATACTCCTGTTACTGGGAACTGCAAAGTGCCTCTCAGGATGATACAAATAATTACTTAACATGGATAATGTATCTTTGACCTAAAAAATAAAAGGCTTTTGCAATATTACGATTAGTATATGTGGGGGAAAAAATATATTTTGGTTTATGTTGTAAGATATTTCAAATTGCCTTTTGGTTTGAAAAATTCCCCTTGAAAGGACAAAAATTTTTTTCAAATTATATCTTGATTTTACACATTTTGTGTTAATAGACAACAAGCTCTGTGCACAAAAAAGAACAGTCTACTTTCAAAACTGCTGAATGGTTTGACCTCAAGGGAATAGAAACTGTTGACTCATTGTTTTTACTGCATATAATATTAGTCCTTTGTCACATCCAGGGAATGACATCATCTTCCTCATTGTTAGCAGCAGGTTTGAATAACAGAAAAAGTGCAGCATTCGTTGTCTGCTGTGTTTTTTCTTAATAAATGAATGGATATCTGGTACCAAGAATCAGATTAGGGGTTTTGAGTAACATTTAGAAGGAGTTTGTGCCCAGACCCTGCAAAGAGCTTTGCTCCTGGCCACCATCTGCAGGGCAGTGGAGCTGGCTGGAGCACAGAGCCTGCGGAGGGAACATCACTGATGGTTCTGGCTGCTCCGAAGTGATAAGAGGAGGCAGGAAAGAAGAGACTAAGCACAGAATGAAACAGATCTGTTCTTCAAGGTCAGCTTAGTAAAAGGAATCCCTGCACTTCTGTGAATCATACTTCTCTGGAATCTAAATTTATGAAAAGTAATTATCTGAAAAGAAGTCATCTCTAGGACACGCAAACAAAAAGGGAACTGGTTATCTTCAAAATGCAGCATTATAAGTATTCCATCCATTCCAAATTTTATTCGTGTCTATTAGTCTTCTACTCCCTATAACTGAAGCATCTATGTCCTAGTCTCAAAGAGTAATTCCTTATCAGAAGTATTTGGTTATATCTGCTTCATGGAAGAGGGATACATCATTATAGAGAGTGATCAGGCTGGTGGAATTCGTCTTTGACGTGATAGATCACCTTCTTCTATGGCAAAGAAAGTTTTAAGTGTTGCTTCCTGAACAATAAATATTGCCAGTGAAACAGAGATTCCTTGAGAGTCTGACAAAGTGCCAAATCCTAATCTGCATTACCCACTACCTCGAAGCTTTCCCAGGAAAATGTGATTATTTAACTATAAAATTATACCTTTGTGGTTCCAAAAATATTTATGCTGAAGATAAGTTCCTGTGTTGAGAGAATGAATCAAACTGTACTTTGAAAAGCTAAAATCCATACAGCTGTGAGAGAGACACCCAGGAGGCTGGGAAAACTGGAAGCAATGGGTTAAGGAAGCCAGGATAGCTTAATCACAGAGGTCCACATACCAAGAGTGGGCTCAGACAGGGGCTACACACATGGAAATACTTCTAGAATGCCAGAGCAAAGAATGAAAGCACGAGCCGTGCTGTAGAAGATCAGACCAGACCTTGCTGACTTTGAAGCAGAAGAGATCTCATGGATCAACCTCTTCTCTCATGCAGGTAGAGAGACCTGCCTTGCACATAAGTGGCTCAGACTGGAGCAGGTGCATCTGTCCCAATTCCTGTCCCAAACTTAGATCCCAATTGTCAGACTTATCTGTTATGAGAAGTAAGAAATGCTACTTTTTTTCTTTATGTTTCCTATGGTTTTGCTATTTTCTGTTCCAGTCCAGAGTTCAACGTTTCTGAAAGGTCTCAAGTAGCATGAATTTTGGTGAGGCCAAATCACTTGATTTTCCCTCACCCTGTTTAGAAGAGGCTTTACTTGGACCAAAGCAATAATGCCAGCCATTTCCCTTCATCCTTTAAAATTACTGGCCACCTCTAAAGAACTTTGCCTCTCTTTTGTGTCACTTTTTGACAACTCATTTGAGTTAAACAGGTTGCTGTGGCCAAATTAAATGCTTGGGAAATGGACCATACAATTAATTTGCAATAGTAAGTTGTCTCAGCATCATTTCTCTTCCTCTCGAGGGGAATGCTGGCTCAAGCAAAAGAAAAGATTAACGTAATAAAAATATTCTAAAGACATCCTGTTAATTGTCCCAAGCTCAGATGGTATTGTCTATTCTTCTGTTGTGCACAGCCAGCAAACAGTGTAAAATCCAGAATTCCTTCCCACCATGAAAGCAGAGCTTCAGTGCTACAGGATAATCCCTGCCTTTCTGGAAAGCAGATGAAAATGTGGTGTGGCAGAGCTTTGCTTTGGGTTTCAGAGGTGAGCTCAAATTTGTCCCATTTATGAATATAATAATAAGACTTGTTAATTTAGACACATCAGCAACTTTAATTGAGGGAATAAAGTTTGGGGGAAAAAGGAAAATTGCAAGCAAAGTAACACAAATTTGGGGGGAGTTTTTTTTTTTCTCGGAATATGCAAATGAGGCCTCCCATGTTTGTTTGGGGACAGAAAACACTTGAGGTTTTAAATTCAGCCAAGCCAGAAACTTTCATTTACAAATACGTTTGCAGTGTTGACCTTGAATATCACATTAAGTGGCAACAAATCTCATAGAAAAATAATTTAATATATCAAATACAGCTCAGAAATATTCACAAGTGACTGGGTGAAGCAAAGCTTGCAGAGCAGTTTGATTAAACAAGAGGCTGTAATTCTCTATTTGCTCTAAAATTTCCATAACAAGGACAAAGTCTGATTTTTGCTTATATGAAAATAGTCATAAAATATGTAAGAAAGCACAGACTGTTGTTTGCTTCAGTTCCTGTAAACTAATCAGGCTGGATGATGAGTCTTCCTGTAAGTGGGAGCACTGCTGAATACTATGCATGAAACCCTGTTCCTCCCCTCATAAACAGCTCGAGCTTTGCCTATGGATCAGTGCAGAAAAATAAGTATTGACTTATTCACAAATTACTTTTTAGGCACTGGATTCCCAGAAATATATTTGTATAACAGCATTTAGAAGCAAATTAATGTGTTAATAACCAGGTTTTCTTTCATTTTATGGCCTTAAAGACACTTTGATCTTATAAAATCATGTTTGTCATCTCAGCTCTGGTGCTCACTTCCTACCTCTTCTAAAATGAATTCTTGATATCAATTCAATATGCCCCTTTTTATTTTATTTCAGACTGCCAATTAAGATGTTTCTTAATATTTTATCAAACAAACAGGTTCCCTACAAGATGCTGACTTGTTCTCAGGGTTTTTTTTATGTCTTTCCAAAATGAAGTATTTTGGATGTGGTACAGTTTGTTCACATGTCAAACATGGATATTTTAATTCTGTCATTCCCCAGAACAGTAAAGAGAGAAAATAAATCAGATGTTTTATCTGATTGTACTTTGATCAGGTTTTTCTCTGTTCTCAAAAAGAACAGCGTGGAGCTTCAATTGCTCCACAAAAAGCATTTTTAGCTCTGAAAATATTTTAAAGACATCTCAGGAAAGCCAGGCCCAACACTTGGAGTTCTACTCATGTTAAAAAAAAACTCACTGTTTTACCATGGTCATAAATGACCATTTAGGATCTCCTGGTATTTAATCTCCACTACGTGAACTGGGAAAAACTTATGAGTAGGAGGCAAAATTGGACAAAATTGCACTTGCCATAATGCTTCCTATCACTGTCCATCACTGACATAAGAGGGTGATGAAAAATGTCTGTAATTGTGCTTCTGGGTACATCCTGATACATAGCAATCTAGGAAATACTGACAGTGTGTGTGACACAGGTGGGAGAGATGTGTGAGCTTTCCCATCAGGGAATTTTGCTGGGTTTGAAGTATAAATTGAAACTAAAAATGTTAGTGATTAAGTTAATGGTGGCCATGGAAGGCTCGAGGCCGTGGGAGGGCTTGTGGTTTTTAACAGAAAAGGCAGAAAAGGTTATTGGCAAACAAGAAAGTAATGCTGCCTTCCTTGTGTGATTCTCTTGCTATAGGCAGAGGATATTGCAGATTGTTCTGAGCATTGAATAATTCAAGAAAACAAAACAACTCTGAAAGCCCAAAAGTTAGATTTCAACTGTTTTTCCAGTTCCTTTATTACCTTCTCAAATTATACTTCAAAGATCCAGAGCCTAGAAATCTAGGAAAAGATTTCTAGGAAAAATCTATAGGGAAATGTGGGAAATCTATAGGGAAAAGTCTGAGGAAGGCACTTCTTAAAAATAATTTACCATTTAGTTTCCTCAGCATGGTAGAAACTAGATAGAGCTGTTCTGGCTCCCCTCAGTCTTTCCATTTATAGAAAGTACCCAAAAACATATAAACCTTTTTGAAATGTTTGGGAGACTTCTCTGTGCTCCAAGGGAGCTGATGTTCTCAGTATTTATGATATGTACCCAAAATGATTTCTCTCTTTTAGTGTCTCCAGTGCAAAATCATTACATTGCCAGGAATAAATTAAGCCTAACTTGTGGGGGGAAAAAAAATTGGATTCCATCATGTGTTTCATTTTGTACCATTATGAAAATGGTATATTAAATTCAAATACTTCAATTGTACCATTAGATGTTGTCATTATGTGGCTGGCTAATTGATAGGTTATTCAAATGAACATTATAATTTTAGACTTCTTAGAAGCATCCATGTGAAGAATTTCCAAACTTCAGAGAAGTAAACTGGGTGCTAGGAAGGAAAAACATGTCCTGAGAATATTTCCTAGTGCATGTCACTGAAAAATCATTACATAACTGCCGTGTGCATTCCGGGACTTGGTGCAGTCTATTTTTAATACCCGGTATGAAAGAACTTCCTGCTACTTTTTCTCTTTGAAAGCTGCTTTGTGGTTCATTAGATCATATTGTCAGGCCAAGTTTTCTGCTATCCTTAAACCTCAATTTTTCCTCTTTTTTTTTTTTTTTTTTAAAATAAAGGGAAACTGTATCAGAAGGAAGAATGTGCTGAGAATAAGATACCTTGGAGAGTAAGGTACATTGTGTAAGTGTTGCAGTGGTCCCAGAACTGAACACTGCCAGACCAGGCCTAGCATTAAACCCAAAAGAAATCTAAACATAACAAACACATGCATAAATAAGAAAGGCAAAAGAATTTGTATGCCAAACAACAGCACCTAGCAAAAAATTTCAACTTTCTGTTTATGGAAACAGATTTTTTTTAAATTAGAGTAGTTTTAATTTCATTCTGATTTCCAGTGTTATCATATGTCACCATTTTGACCATAATTTGGATAATCATGACCATTAACATGAAACATTTTGCTTAAATGCAGTGAAAAAATTTCAAACACAGGCTGTGCAAGCTATTTCAGGATATTTTAACTGCAGAGAAAGTTTACAGCATTAGTGTAGTTTTGCTGTAAAAATCCAGGACAAACAGTCTGACAGAGATGAGATGGCCACAGGGACCAACATTTTCACCTCCTCTGACTTCCTGCAAAACGGAGGCCACAGGACCTCCTGACTTAAATTATTTTCCAGCAAGAGCATATCTTTTAGGCAATGGTAGATTCAAGTGACAGAGAACCCACTAAATCTGCTAAAAGTATTAATTTTATAGACAAAAGACATTTGTACTTGCAAATTAACAGGCAGTTCATTGTACATTGGAAAGGCCTTCTGTGACTCTCTTACTTTCATCCCCAGCAGAGGAATGGGATGACAATTTTTGGTGCCAAACAGCACTGGGTGGTAATTGCTGTAACTCTTGCTGTGAACCTGCTCTGGAAGTCTCTGGCAGGGAGGCAGTGGAACGTGTCAGCACAGGGCTGGAACAGGTCACAGCTCAGCTGCCCTCCCTGCCACCGCTCCCACAGCCACCGCCGTGCCCTGAATCAGAGCTTTCAGCGTAGGGAGCAGCTCCTGAGCTGCCTCAGTTTCCACAGAAGGCAAACAGTCAGCTGTGGGAGGTGCAGAGCACTTTGGGGGACTGTTAGATGATGCTTTCCCTGGGGCTTGTGCTGGTAAACTGCACTGATGAGGGTATTTAGGAACCTCAACTGTTGCTTTGGCATTATCCCACCAGAAGCAATTCCTTTTCCCCTTCACTCTGCTGTCTCTGTATTCGTCTTCACAGAATATTTTTGGATCATTTATTTCTGCACTTTTGTAGATCGTTCATGTTGGTTTCATTGCCTAAGAGGATGGTCCAGTCCTCAACTATACTGCTCCCAGTCTCAATTGAGCATACTCCCCTCTCCCTATTCACATCCAAACACTCTGGAATTATTTTCCTTTATTTTCATGTTTATTTTCAGAGGAAATATCTTCACCCTAAAAGATTAAATCTGACTTATTTCTGCTTACTTCAATAAAGTTTTTATTAAGAAACTCATTGCAGGTCACTTAAAAGTCTTCCACTGCTCTGCTTAACCTTGTCCAGTGCCTCATAATTACATCTTGTTTTCAGCTGTTTGTCACTGTTTGGGCTGGTATTTTCCAAGCCAAGCATCTGCCTCAGGTTTAATTTTTGGCAGTTGCCAGCTAAACCGCTGTAGTAATTTTCAAGAACAAGGTTAAAAAAATATTTTGCTCATATTAAAAAATAATAATCTGGTTGCTTCATTCAGAAGTGTTGGTATCCCCATTACAGAAGGAATTTGGAATGGAACACCATCACTGGTCTGCTTTCATCCATGCACCTTTTAAGCAGCAACTTGGAATTTGGCAGCATCTCTGCTGTGGTTTCACAGATGTGCATCCAAATGTAAAAAAAAAAATTAAAAGTCTCAAAAAAAGAGAAAATCTAAGATTTCATGTGATTGGTTAAGAATCATTTACTTTTGTCATTTTACTGAGTTTTCCAAAGGCCAGCCCGAGCTGACAGAGCCCGCTCCACGTTCGGGGGCTTTTGCGGGGCAGCCGGGTACAATCCGTGCCCAAGGCAGGGGGACCACGAGTGCTCCTCCCTTCCTGTGACATCTGGGTGCCTCTCCTGTGTGCACCACCTCCCTTTCTCCTGCTGAGCAAAGGAGGATGGGTCACAAAGATGAAAGTGTCTGGGAGGAGGCCTGCAACCAGGGAGCAGAAAGTGAGAGGAAGGAGGAGATGAGGACAATAGAGTCCAAGGAGACAACTACTGCTGACCAGTGATAATTCTCCTGGGACTTCATGGGCTGAAATCAATTGTGGAAGCAGTTCTGCATGACTAGGGAAAAAAAAAGATTATACATATTTACATAAAGAGATCCTGCTATGCCATGGGAAAAGGTATGATATATTGGGTAAGGAGATTAATAAGCCTCATGGAGATAAAGATAAGATGCCAGAGGAAATAATTAAGAAAAAATAAGAGGTTTGGTGTGCAACTAAAGCAAGGATATGAAAATAGAGTGTGAAGTGCATAAGAAGGCAGGAACCAGGGGATGGAGAGATGGATAAACAGTGTGGAAGAGAAAGAACTGGGAGTTACCTTAAAACATCAGAGAGGAGAAAGAGAAGGCAGGAGCCAGGCAGGAGGACAAGCATCAAGGGAAAGAAGGGGTGTGAGTACAGATTGAACTCTGAGACTAGGCTGATCTTCTGAGTCAGACATAAATGCAAATAGTGATTTATCTGTAATGGTATAGGAACAGGAATCAGGTATGACTAACATCTATAGCCACATTTTCTTTTCTTGTTAGAGATCTTTATCGCACATTCTGGATCTCATGAGCCAGAGCCCTGGAGTTAAGGTGACCGCGTGTCATTATCTGTTTATTTTTCAGGCTTCCTCTCTCTGATTTTGTTAACAAACATTCAAGTGCCTGAAGTGCAATATGTGGCTTTTTTAAAAAATCACAGTCAAAAGTATTTCTGCAAAATCCATTTGAAAATGCTACAAGTAATTTTGAAATGATAGGTAGGGCTGCCAGCAGTGTCTCCCACTGGCAGAGCAAAGCAAGGCCCTGCATTCAGCCTGATGGCCTTTCACTGTGGGTGTTTGTCCTCTAAGACGGCTTGCACCATCCCCATTACATTGTGTGTAATTCATCACAGGGGTCAGCAGCCCTGCCTTGGCAATTGTACCTCCCACCCCCAGGAACAGGCCTGGAGATACAGGAGCAGAGTGGGCAAGGGCTGGAGATACAGGAGCAGAGTGGGAAAGGGCTGGGTGCTGCCCACGGGCAAAGCAGAGCTGGAGGTCACTGAGCAGCAGCCAGGGAGGGGAGTGGGAGGTGTCCTGCCCCGTGGTACTGCTGGAGCTGCAGAGACACCAGTTCTACTCCTCCAGTAGTAAAACGGGGAAACATTGAAATTTGCCCCTGCCGTGGTGATTCAGCTTGCAAGCATTTGCCATTTATGTTAAATTCCAATTTTTTCAATATAAATGGCAAATGCTTCCCCACAAACAGCATGTTTGGTCTGTCACATTTTCTGCAAGCTGAAGGCAAGCTTTGCAGAACTGAGCTTTACTTTCCTTTTGAGAATGAAAGCAGCACTGCTGTCAGAAAATTGAGTTGTTGGTGTGTATCAGGTGATAGAAAAAATTACTCTGCACATGGTCTGACTTTTTTTTATATACATACTTGGGATCTGCAGGTGTTGATTTGCTGTATGTTTATCTGTTTGTCATACTGATAGCTTAAATCCACAAACTACACTTCTAATAACAACTCCTAGGGAGAAGGTTGCTGTTACTGCTTGGTTCCTCCTAAAGATTAAACAGAGCTAAAAGTTGGTACATTGACCTCTTGCTTCTTGAGGCAGATCTCTGTTCAAATTCTGACCTACGTCCCAGCTAAAAACGTGTTCAATCTTTTCTTAATTTGTAGTAGATACTTGTGTACATTACAAAATCATCTCACAATTTGGCAAATTAAGTTGTCTGTGGTTAGCCCTGGAATTGCAGAGATATTGCAGTGCATGCAGCATTGCATAATGAGGTTCCCCAGACTTTCCTTACTCGAGTGAGTAACAGCAATTCTTATCTCTAGTGAGCATCGGATTCGTCCCGTTTTTGAAAAAAGAATTAGTATCAAATCTACGATGGGCATGTTATGCCTTGTGGCTGCAATGTTGTTTCAATTAACTTCCCTGAATATACCACAATGAAAAGTGTCAGCTTTTTGCCTCAGAGGCCTATAATTAGATTAAATGAATACTGTTAATTATCTACTACCTTCTTTACACAAAACAGTATGTTTCCATAAATTAAAATGCTGGTACAGGAAGGAAATTGTTGTTCTCTGTAATACGTGCACACAGTGCTGGATTGTGAATACTGTGACTGCATCAAAGTGTAGCACAGCTCTGCAGCCCTTATTTTACAGGAGCTAAAACCAATTACAACTGAAAAATCCACAGACAGCACACTATTTTAAATCATATATGTTGGTGCAAGGAGGTGATATTACTAAATGTTACAGCTCTCCTGAAACAAATACACTTTCCTCTTTAACAGATGTTCTCTATAAAATTCTCTTAGGGAGATTAAATACAGCTTTGTTTGTGTACCTACAGTCACACCCTCAAGGACTATGTTATGTACAGAGAAAAAAACTGCTTTTTCTAGCAGAGTGTACTTCTTCTTTCAGAAAAATTTTAAAAGTCCGTTCTGTGGGAAGCATTTACAATTAACAGCTTGGTTTCCAGGCCTGTGTATATTCCAGCTAGTGTGGACTGAACATCTCCTCTGCCTGTTCTCCAGCATTACTAGATGCAAGCAAAAGTTCCTGACTGATCAGTTCAGTCCCATCCTGGCATGCCTGGTTTGGAAGTGCAGATTTTCAAATGGTGGTACATCACCTCTAGGGTAACAGATCTGAAGCAGAAAGTACTCTTTTTTTGATTTGGCAAAGTGTATCCCAATGTCCCTATTTCCATCAGAATAGATGTTAATAACTCCAGGCCTGAACACGGATCCTCCCTCACCAGAAAATTACAATTAACTTTAGCAGAAGCCCTCATTCGGGCCTGCAATATACTCCGCATATAAATGTGATCTGTACCCAGGACTGCTCTTGTGTTTCATTAAGGTCAAACCCTGAAAAGCTTTTGAATACTCAGTGTTCCTACAAGGCATCGCATTTTATTGTGGTTTGTGCTGTGTCTCTTTTCCTTTAAATGTTCATTAGCTCCGTGTATGTAAAAGTGTTCATTAAAATATCATTGTGCTGGTAATAATCTTAATATTGAGGAGTGAAGAGGGCTGTGTTGCAGTAGAAATGCTGCCCCGTTTCCTGCTCTCAGGGTGTAACAGGAGAAAGAAAGACCATCTTGATAGGCACTATCTGCTGAAGGAAAACTTTCAGAGGAGCTGTGAATCGACTTTAACCTTTTAGTGGCTGCACTGTGAAGAAAATGTTTCAATCTTCCTACCCCGAATTAGGCTTCTTTAATTTGAAAGATTCATAAATGCTAGTGGCCCTTATAATTACTGCTACAAATATCAGAAAACAGTTACAGAGGAACAAAGAAATGCGACTGGAAACATGGTTCAGTGGTCTTGTACTTCCCTGAAAAGCTGATTATACTTTTTGGCTGATTCACTTTCTTTCAGAGGGAATTTACCCTTTCTGGCAGTTTGAGTCTGGCTGCACCGACGGCACAAAATGTATCTGGGGATGAAGAAATTGGCTCGGGGTCCTCTGTGTGTCAAACTGAAATTTGCCACCGAGCTCTAGATTTTGTCTTTTAGCCCCTGAGTGCCCCTTGTTTGTCAGATTCAGAAGCCATTTTAACACTAGCTTAAAAATAGAGCCATTTCATTTGTGCTTTTGCAGGTGCCTTGCCCAATTCCATGCTTTCCCTGCATGACTTATCTTGTAGGATAAGCACTAATCAAAGGTCAAGGTTATTCTGAAGTATCCAGCACAGGAGAGTTCTCTTTCTCGTAGATCCTTAAGCTGAACTTCGCACAATTATAACTGATACTGTGCTGAAAGGTAATTCAAACAGGGAAAAAGTACAAAATGACAAGCAGGAACCTTTGGCACTGTAAAATGTCCCTGGTGATTTGTACTGAGTGCTTCTTCAAAACGCAGAAGCCATTTTACCACTCAGAGCCATGGCAGAAGTGAATTATTATTTTTTTCCGAGTGGGACTCTGCAGACCAGGGCTTCAGAGCCAGGCTTGGCACATCTGTCTCTCAAAAATGTGCCATGTACTTTACATCCGAAGATAATTTTCTCGCCTCCGCGACACAGAAGCCAAGAAGCGTGGATTTTTCCTCCCCCCTCTCTCGCCTGTCTGATTTTAAAATGTAACACAAGGTCATGCATGAAAAGCTCCGGCTGGGAGATACACCTTGCCACCCATTTTTTTTAAGGAAACCTGGAGACAAACCTGCCGGGTTTTCCCTTCTACGTGAGCTGCGGTGGGAGAAGATGCTTCTGCATCCCTGGGCGCGGGGCTGGGGGAGGAGAGCCCGGCGCAGCAGCGGGAGCCCCGCCGCCCGGCAGCGGCCGCAAAGATGCGTTAGAAACATCCCCCGGCAAGACGCGGGTCCCTTCTCTGTACTCACTGCGGCTGCGAAAGCACCGGAGTTTCGCTGAGGAGACTCCAGTCCCGGCTGCGGGGAGAGGGAGGAAAGGGAGGGGGAAAGAGAAAAGGGGAAAAAAAAAAAAAAAAAAAAAAAAAAAGGAAGAAGGAGAAGCTAGGAAAAAAAAAAATAAAAAAGGGGCGCAGTGGAAGTTGCGGCGGCGGCGGGAGAGAGGCGGCGGGGGCGGCCGGGGTGTCCGAGCCCCGGGGCCGCAGCGCTGCCCGCCCGGCGGCCGCCCCGGGCCTGTCGGGGGAACCGGGGCGCAGCGAAGCGGCGGCGGAGCCCGCGGAGGAAACTAAATAAATAAAATCAGACTGTTATTTAAGGCGCGTAAATTTAAAATTATTTGGACAGGAAGAGCAAGGGGAGCGGAGCCGCAGGAGCCAAAGTAACGGTTTCGGAGCCGGGCGCGGCCCCCCCGCCCCGCGGCCCCGCGCCCCGGCGCTCCCCGGGGGCCGCCCGACCTGCCCGCAGCCCGGCCGGCGCGACCCTCCCTCCTCCCCGGGGACCCCGGCAGAGCCCTCCGGGAGCACCGACATTTTGAGTGCCTGTGTGGTGGGGCAGGCTGTGCTGAGAGCCGGTGAGAAATCTTTCTTTCTCTCTCTCTCCTTCTTTTCTTTCTTTTTTTTTTTTTTTATTCCCCACCCCCCCCTCCCCCTCCATGCACAGGATAACAGTCCCAACGGATAAATGTAAAAGCCTTCCTCCCCTCGCTTTTTCGAGGGAATTTCAGCACTTCAGTCAGGAGATAATAATGTCTGGCTGCTTCTGGCTGCCCAGTGAATTCCCAGGTACATTTGTGGAAGAAAACCTTTTCTTTCTTTTAGAAGATGAAAAGTGGTAGCTTTCTCCTGTGTTAACTCTTTCTTCATGTGAACGGTGCAATGGCATTTCCTAGGGAGCTGATATCTTACCCCACCGTGGAATAAACCATTGATTCCATTCCTCTCCCCACACTGAAAGCTGGAAAGAAAGTATTTTCCTGTACTTAAATGTGCTGTGGCTTATTGCACTGGAGACTGAGGAAAATTCACCTTCAAATACCTTCTCATTCACTCTCCCCCGGCTAAGGGCAGTACAGTGCCCTGCACCTCTGCCCCTGTGTCCCCAGCACCCACAGATCGGGTATTTCACCCTCGCACGGTGCTGCTGCCACAGATTAAACTCTCTTCGTTCCCTGCAGGATCCTTTTAGGATCTGCCCCTTTCCAAAAGGAGCTCAGCAGCCCCCGCCGTTGTTCCGAGGATAATTTAGAAACAAAGGTCAAGTGCAACAGCTTTGCTCATCCGTGTAACTGAAATAGGGGAGAGGGCTGTTGCCCCACAGTTGTGTCCTCACACAGCCTGGTCACTGTGAATCCTGGTACAGCTACGTTTTATGCTCTATTTCTTCACATTTTTCTGTGCTTGCTGTATTTGTTTCTATTTATACCTCTCATCTCGGTACTGCACTGCTTGCTGCCGATTCCTGGGCTGCTGCAGGGCGATCTCTGCTCCTGCCTGCAGACTTAACTTGGCAGTTGGTTTGTGTCTCAATAAAACCCCTCAAAAATCTTCAATTCAATCTCACACGCTGCAGTTTTGCGTCTCTGGATAAATACGCTTGTCGACATTTTCAGGAATATGCGAGTTTTTGAAACTGGACTTTTTGATGTTGCCAGAATAGTGGGGGGAAAGCGCCAAAGCAATTTCTGAAACCACATGGGATATTACAATCCTTTTTAGGTGTCAAGATTCCCTATTAATGAGACTCGCATTATATTATTTTCTCCTCGCTCAGTGATTGGAAAGCCATTCAACCGGGCACCTTTTGTCACTGGCAAACCCTGTGAGGTGCGTGTAACACCAGCTGACTGATTTCTTTGGTTTCCTAGAGGCTCTTTGCAGTAACTATTAACTTCCTGGGATAATAGAGAGCAATTTTTTGCTTTCCAAGTACCTAACTAGGAATTTCAATTGATCATCTTGTTGAGGGGCTCACAGAGAAAACGCAGCAGTGAAATCAGATAAAACACACCTTTAAACCAGACTATCAGCCGTGACTCAGCCGCCGAGGCTTTGGGCATGGCCGGGGGCTGATCCGTCCTGGCTTTAACCCTGAACTCCTGGCACGCAATAAAAGCCGCTATTTCTGACTAGGCGGGGCATTTTTCTCGGAAGCGAAGTTGTTCTTATTAAGCCACTGCTTAAACTTCGCCTTAGCGTAAATTAAATGCTGATGAAGCTCCAAACGGGTTTGAAATGAGGTTTTTTAGTAGCACGGGTGAAAAAAAAGAATAACAAACGTGAGAAAGCTGGATGTTACCTTCTGGTGTAGCACGGAATTCCTCTTTGTGAGAGGAATGGAGAAGGAAAAGGCTTGGAGCATCCTCCAGGACACGAGGAAAGGAAGATGGAGAGTAGCACAGAGCGATTTGGGTCACTTCATCTGGGGGACCTGTGGATTATGTTGCTCGGTTGAATATTTCAGGTGGTTTAGTGCCCTTTCTACTGGGAATTTTGGGGTTATTTCTCTAAAAATGCTTCTTATGTGCTGTGTTGCTCTGATTAATGATCATGGCACAATTTTTCATATTTCACAGAGGTTTTTAATCAGAACACAGCAGTGTGACAGAGCTTATAGTAAATGTGACAGACAGTTTCAGCAAATTTCTTTTTACTTGAAAATGTAGTAACTGATTTTGGGGGGCTAATTAAAAAAAAAAAAAAGTTAAAAACTAAGACTATTCCCTCTCCTCTTTTAAGTGCTATTTAAAGTAGTATTCATTTTTCATTTATTTAAAACCTTCTATTTTGCACGACTGAAATTTAGACTATTCAAAATAAAGCACTTTAAACTGCCCATCTGCCCAATAAGTAGATCCTGTACAAATGTTAAAAGTTTCATAATAGACTCTTCCCGACACGGTGCTGAGCATCGTTAGCTCCTGTTGAGGCTGGAGAGGCAAATGAGTTTCAGTCTGGTGAATACTCTCAACTCTCTGTTGCAATAGAAAATTTCCAATGGTTAAATTGTGTTTTAGGTGCAAGCAATAACTTAACTTCACAAATATGAAAAGTGCTGCTTCCTAAATGTCACCGTATTCAAATGTTCTTGTTTTGTGAGATGCTGTCATTAAAATAGTTTATTTCCAGAAAAAAAAACAGAATAGTTGTTGGAAAGCAAATATTACTTAGAGAACATCTAAACTGCAATCAGCAGATGGAGCGACCAGAAGTGTTGTATTGCAGCTTTCGTGTCCTCTTTGACAATGGTTCTCTGCTGCTTGTTTTGAAACTAGAAAAAAAAGTCCTCTGCAGTGCACAGTAAACACGAACTACTAAACTGAGCTGTTTAAAACCTCTGGCAATCGAAGAAACACCACTTATACTGTTTCTGGTAACTAAATTCAAAACCAGATCGGTGAAAGTTTAAATATACAAAGAGGAAAAGTGTCATCTACATTTAGAAAGTAAGTGACCTAGTTCTACAAGCTCTTGTTAGTGACAAAATACAGTTACTGCCTAAAGCATCTAAGCGCCATCCACTGTCCTCATGCCACGCAGCCTTTGACATCCAGCTCTGCCTGTGCAGGGCTGCAGATGACCCCTTATTAAAAAGATGTTTTTATCTAAAACAGGACCTCAGACTCTTGAGCCTGACCGAAAGGGGTGGGGGGAGTGAGGAGAAAGGAGGGGTGCATTGAGAGGTGGGAGAAATCACAGTAAACTATTTCCTTTTCTTAAAAGTCCAGCAATATTAAGCATGTGAATAGTAGTTCTTGTATTAATGACTTGATATGAATGACCTAAAATAAATTGTAAAAGTTGATACTGGAAAACTAATATGAGCAACCAACATACACACGGATGAGCCTGGGAGTACTGTGTAAAGTGAAAGGTATAGGAAACTGCTGGGAGCATGGATTCGAAACTTATCCATTGTCTAAAAACCCACCTCTGGAATTTCTTGAGAGTTACACTACCAGCTGTTCAGAAGAAAAAAAAAAAAGTAATGTGGCAACAAATGTTGTTAAAAAGGAGGAAAACACCCCAAGAACTGTGCACACCCTCACGTCCAAAGGAGACCCCGTCCTGGCGGGGTTCAGTCCATGCTGGGGGGGAAGGAGCTGCTGGCCTCCAGGAGTTCCACCACGGCTGCCCTCCTGTAGAGCTTGGCCAGGTCGTAGGCGGTGGCCCCCCGCTTGTTCTGGTGGCCCACCTTGCACTCGGAGCGCGCCAGCAGCAGCTGCACCACCCGCACATGGCCCTCCTGGGCCGCCAAGTGCAGGGGCAGGTTGCCGTCGTTGTCCTCAATGTTAACATCGGCTTTGAACTCCAGCAGAGTCTGCAAAGTGTCCAGAAAGCCCTCCCTGGCTACATCGTGGATGACAGCGAAGCCGGTACTGTCTTTCAGGTTGGGGTTGGCCCCGTTGCTGAGCAGCCGCCGGGCGATTTCGGGGTTCCCGAGTTTCATCACCTGCGAAAGAGAGAGGAGAATTGGATACCGCGGGTGGGGGTTTGCTGCAGCACTGCCTCCCGTCCTCGCTTCTCGTCCCTGGCTTTTGTCAGAGTCCAGTTCTCATTTAAAGCAGACAGAGGAGGCTCGCTATAGAACTAATGACACACCAGAACGACTCGTTTTTCATGCATTTGTTACTGAACTCGGTGAAATTGTGAAAGATGTTATCATTTCGGTGGTCATAGCTTTCTGCCTCGGAGAGATTAATGCCTGAAATAGCACAGAATGGCACATAACAACTTCTTTTTTTTCCCTAACGAGGGTCATCTCAGTTTCTTAACATATAAAAATTAAGTATAGTTCGGTTTTATTTGCCTAAGTTTTGAGACACCTCTGCATTACTGTTTAATCTTGTTAAACAGCAAATATAGGGTCTCTGAGGAACAGATATTTTACCTAAGCAACAGCAAATGTAGAATGTGTTTTTACAAGCTTTCAGGTGTTTACATTGTCTGTGCATTATCATAAAACAAATATTTGGACTGTACCATAGCTCTCTCTGTTGAGAAACATAAATGTTAAAAGAAATTCTTCTCCCCAATATTTGTGTTTCATTAGGTCACC